AACTGGAAATATTTTAGATGACCTAACATTCTTGTTTACTTTAAATTTAAAAAATAATAACGAGAAAATGGTATAGTATCGGAAAAAATATCTGGAAAGCTTTAGACCTGAAATGGTCCGGATTTCTGGATTTTTCGATTTTTTGGACATAGATTAAATTTATAGTTAAAATACAAAATAAGTAGACAAATGGAAAGTAAGCAAGGGATAAAATTGTATTTCTTACTTTCCATTATGCCAGCGATCATATTAGAACTCGAATCCTGCGACACGAAATCCATCGAAAATAGGTGGTTTTTTGGAAGCCTGATATTTAGTCCGGTTCTATATAACATTAATAAATGCAAACGTTATTTTTAAATCGAAAATAATAAAAATATACTTTGGACTAAAATTCAATATTATTCATAATTTGAGTTTTTAGCTCTGTGAGCACCAAGAGAGTCTTTTTCCGGATCTATTGTGGTACGGCCAGGCCTATAAGGAAGCAGACGGATGGTAAAAACGAGGCCCGACATTAGTCGGGAGTGACCGCCCAAGAAAAATTCCTGGGAAATTTTTCTTGGATTCTATTCCAGATCTCTTAAAGCAGTAGACTGACGCCTTAACAGCCTGCGGCAATCAATGTAATTAATTAAATTTTGTAAAAATGGAATTTATTTCATTTTGAATAACACAAGTACCTGTATGTGGAATATTAAAGTAATTAAATTACATGATAATTTATATAATCAGAAATATTAAACATATTTTCTTGTTTAAAGTTATTTATTAATTAAAATTAGTATTTCAAAATTGAAAAATATGACTATACAAAGTTTCAGTCCTTCTATCTATTAGATAGAAGAACTGAAACTTAGTCAAAATAATCCTGGACTTCTATGTACAATTTATGCATATAATATTAATATTATTTCGATGAACTGGAGGTCAAAACTATTAAAAGACACGATAATAAAGTAATTCAAGGTCTTGCAACTAATTTTATATTGTTTGTGATAAATTAATGCCAAATTCCTTCCTGGTTTTAATGTATTTTTCCACTTATTATTCATTTCAATTAGAATGCATTAAGCATTTTATAAAATTAATGGGTGCATTCATCCCCACATATGGGACCAAATGGTCCTGCCGTTTCTTCCCAAGCTTCTGTTCTTTCCTGTATACAAGGTGCGTTCCATAAGTAATGCAACCAAATTCATAAAAAATCATTTATTGAACATATTCTTACAATTAGTCAAAAATTTTTGAAATAGCACCTTCCTGCATCGATACACTTGTGAAGGCGGTGTTTCCGGGCCTGGAAGGCATTCTGGAAGGCCTTCTCCGGAATGTCCTTTAGAGCTGACGTAACATAAGCCTTGATGCTATCAATCGTGTTCCCAATGTTTCTCTTTCATGGCCTCTTTTAAGCGAAAAAACAAAAAAAGTTGGCGGGAGCCAGGTCAGGACTGTAAGGTGGCTGTGGAACCAATGGGGTGTGGGTCCTGGCCAGGAAATCGTTGACAGTGAAGGCGCTGTGGCTTAGCACGTTGTCGTGATGAAGTTTCTGCGTGGCCTTAATGTCACTTCGGCAGCGCGCCACTAGGATTTCAGTCTTTTGAACACTTCCAAGTAGAAAGATGCATTTACAATGGTTTGGCAGGTACGAATTCGTGGTGGTTAATGCTTCTGACGTCAAAGAAGATAATTCGGGAGGTTGATCGACGTCCACTGCGGGATTCGTTGGTCACCTCCTCTCGGTTATCCTTGAACGACTTGTGCCATCGAAAGACTTATGATTTGGAGAAGCAATCACTCCCAAAGACCTGCTGAATTAATGTAAAAGTTTCGGTGGCGGACTTCCCAAGTTTAACGCAAAATTTGATAGCGTAACGTTGCTCCACAAAATGATCCATCGCTCAGTGTTACATTAACTCAAAACGGGGTTGACGGGAACGAACGTCCTCACACGCTGGCAGCATGGAGGCAAGCGAGACCGGGCTAGTTTTGAAGCTAACACCCCACACCACCTAGTACAGCAGGTTAGAACTAGCTACGGCATATCGTCGTGTCGTGAAAAAATTAGTCGCATTATTTATGGAACGCACCTTGTATGGTTTTCCCTATGTTTTCTATATAAACTATTAAATTTTCGCGGTCTGGATATAGAGGATGCTTTAAAAAAATGTTAACACTGATATAGAAGTAACTTGTTATTCCGGATTGTAATGACAGGTTTTTCATGTGCAAAATGTCATGATATAGACTAATTGTGTAATTCTGAAAAAAGCGGCCTTACTACCCTCTGCTTGCTGCTAACTACACCCATTCTTCTTGTAATGTTAACATTTGTTTGAAGAATCCTGTAGAGGACCCCATTTAGTATACCCAACATTTAGTATATTCTGTAAAAGCACGACATAAAAGTGATATGAATTATATAATGATGAGTATGAGTAATGTAGTATGAGAATGCCATGTGGATACTAAGGCCCTCTTAGTATCCACAGGGAATAAAGAGTAAAAATAGAAAGAAAAATCTATGAAAATCTGTTTTTATTTATGTTTCTAAATTTACTCATGTATTTTCATAGATTTTGAATAAATAGGGCCCCCCATATTTTTGATTGACCCAGGCATTAGTTTACTTCTTATTAATGTCCTGGGCACATTAATAAGAAAGTAAAATGCATATAAAGATTATATTCAGTTTATTAATTAAAATTTATAATCTGATACCATTATTTAACTATTAACAATATTAAATTAAGAAAAAACTTTTAAATTTTTATTACTTGATCAAAATTAACGAATATTTCCAAGCTTAAATCCTATTTTCTTAACTATTTTACACGTTCTGTCTATCTAGAAATCTATTAATTCTTAGAATTTACAACCTTTTTTTTATAACTAATGATTTTTCAGAGAGTTTTATTTACTATTTTAAACTGCTGTTTCCGCTCCAGTAGACTTATCGTAAATAAATTTATGTAAATCAAAAGAAGGTACAGTTCTAGACAAGAGAATGGTAATTAGGACTTTCTGACAAACATAAAATTGAGTCAATTAAACAACTTTCTTTATTGTTATTTTTTTAAGTATCTACACCTATGATAAATAAAGCCATTGCAGTAATTATTAAATAAATACAATATAATTTAATATTTACGTTTTCAATTCCTATTATAATTAATTAAATCCCCAGAATTAACATCAGTAATAATTATTATAATACGTAATAAAAATTATTTTTTAAAATTCAAATTTATGTAATATAATTNTCATTACCAAAAAGTAAGAATACTGTTCAAGTGAGAAAAAAATTGTGTGACGGGTATGGAGATGATGTATTGACAGAACAACAGTGCCAAAACTGGTTTACAAAATTTTGTTCTGGCAATTTCAATATTGAAGATGCACCACGTTCTGGATGGCCAGTTGTAGACAATGAAACAAAATAAAGGTACTGATTGAAGCAACTGCCGAATAACAACACGTGAAATCACTAAGAGATTAAATTTGTCAAATTGAACCGTTTATGATTACTTGAAACAAATTGGTTTTGTTTCAAAGCTTGATATATGGGTTCCACATATTCTTAAAGAGAGATGATCTCTTTGGTGGGATTTTAAGGAAATTGTTTTTTTTTGGTGCTTTTACCAGACAATTTAACAATTGATTTGAAAGTGTACTGCCATTGAGTAAACAAATTGAGTAATATAAAACAGAAAAGGCCAGAATTTATCAACAAAAAAAGGTGTAGTGTTTTGCCATGATGATGTCAAATTTCACACAAGTTTGGTAACTCGTTAGAAACTGTTATAACTTGGTTGGTGTGATAGCATGTCCATCTATATTCTCCAGATCCAGCACCCTCAGATTATTACTTGTTCCGGTCTATACAAATTTTTTTTAATTGTAAGACATTTACTTGAAATGACCGATGTCAAAAATCACTTGGATCAGTTTTTCGTAAGCAATGATCAAAACTTTTATGAATGTGAAATCATGCTATTACAGAAAACGATGACAGCTGGTATTTGACCAAAATGGTCGATATATATAATTCAATAAAATATTTATTTATTATAAAAATATTGTGTATTTTCCACGGAAAAAAACAAAATTACTTTTTGAACAACCCAATATTATATACATTTAGAAAAAAACAAAATTCTCATTGTTGCAAAAGTCAAGTAAGTGTGCTAGTGCTTTCCTATAGAATTCAATATGATAAAAATACATTGACATATTAAAATTTATTGGCATTTTGAGAATATAATTGTGAAAATGTCATTCTAATAATAGTATAATAGGATTTTGTAAATATGATGATAAATGTTAAATGTTTTCTTCATATTCTTATGTTAATTGTAAAATTTAACTTTTTCTGTATTCTAGTTTGCTACTGTGTTTATTGTAAATTAAAGTATCCTTAATTTATGAAAATTATGTGAATACGTCTGATTTCTTTCAGGACAATGCTTAATATTGAATAATAAATTACAATTAAGATATTTGAGTATTGTTCTTATAATTTTTCTTGGCTTTCATTTTAGTATTGTATGTACTGTACTATAGTTATCTCCATAGTATGACACAAACATATGGATATCATATATAATCATATGTCTATTGGACATATCACACTAAATTGATATGTTCCAGATTTATTTGGTTATCTTCGTCAGTTTATTTTATATGAAAAGGATATGTTGCTTTTTAACAAGTAAACCAAATCATGATGATAAAACAAATCATTGGGAGCAATGAGTTCACCATTCATAGTTATTATTTTGTATGAATTTTAATAAACTCCACTTTATTAATGCCTTATATTTATTAAAAATTAATAATTATTTTAATGCTCTGATGCATAGTAAAAAAATATTTAATGCGTGTGCACATACACCACTAATATATATATACACACATATAGAGAGAGAGAACACCTCGCGTATAAGCATGCTCTTATATGTCAGCTTGTTTTGGCAATGCATTCTGTCAACGTAAGTATAATGATACAGCAATTATTCAGTGACGGAAATTTGCAATCGTCGGACGCATCAACGCATTGGGTTGTGACCGAAAATGGAAAAATTCAAGCACAAGTTAGTGTTAAAACCGTATTATTCAATATACGCTTATTAAATAGTTCTATTCGTTAATTGTGAATATTAATTAATGATGAATTAAGCCGAATTGTTAATTAGGTAATGAACGATCTCACAGTTTTAGATCTTTATGTAAAAATGTGTATTATTTAAGATAAAATATGTTTAAAATGTTTTATTATGATAGTAGTAGTGAAGTTTGAAGTAAATATCTTATAGAAACTGTATAATGTGAAGGGAAGAAGGCGTTGCCTCATTATGCTATGTTATTAGCATCATCCATTTTCACCTCATTAATTATCATTAAACATTATAAACATGGTTGAAGTAATAATAATATCCCGTTTATTAAAGCTTTACATATTCCATATTAATATATTTTAATAATAAAAAGATAAAACAATTTAATATTATGAATGAAATTGCATTAATAATAAATATATTTGTAAAAATAATCATAAATTATTGGGTTGTTCGGAAAGTAATTTCGGTTTTTTTTACCACTAGACGAATTAGTCGTATTTTTCCCGCCATTTTCATTCTAAACCGTATTATCATTATATGTTTTGACAGCTAGCATTTTAAGGCTTATTTGTAAAAAATTTTGTTTGATTTTGTGCAATTGTTTATTTTTTGTGTTCCATCAAATATGGAAGATCGAAAGCAGCATTTTCGGCATATTTTGCTCTTTCATTACCAAAAAGTAAGAATACTGTTCAAGTGAGAAAAAAATTGTGTGACGGGTATGGAGATGATGTATTGACAGAACAACAGTGCCAAAACTGGTTTACAAAATTTTGTTCTGGCAATTTCAATATTGAAGATGCACCACGTTCTGGATGGCCAGTTGAAGCCAATGAAAACAAAATAAAGG